CTAGTTCTTTTCCATCACATGCTGCTTCTTTGTAAAAACAAGAGGAATCTACTCCAGTCCTGCACTCCCCTGACTGGATGCACAAGGCACTGCACACTCAGCAAGGGCAGAGCAGGATCCTCACCAGCCAGGTTATGAAGGCCACACCAAAGGCCAAACACCTGCTCAGATACTGTGGTAGAGACACGACTGAAACCCTAACTAGGAGCATTTCAAATCACAGTAGATCAACAAGAACTGGCAACATCCCAAAACTCTTCCTACTTAGTTGTACTGTCCACACAGAGGTTACTTTTCATTTCATTATTCTTTCTATCCTGTGATAAATGGTTTTGCTCTTGGCATTACAATTGACAGCAAGTAAAGAATAAGTATCTGTGAGTAGCTGAGTGTCTTAGTACTACTGGTTGGTTTGATAAATAAATTTCTTTAGAATTACCCCCTTCACTAGTTCCCTTTCTGATTAGAACATGACCCATCACTAGTTCCCTTTCTGATTAGAACATGACCCATCACCAGAAGATACAAGTATTAAATCAGTCCAGGCTTTCTCCAGTGAACAATAAAAGCATTTTAAAATCAGGGTGTGCTGCTTCTTTAATGTAACTTCAAGTCTTGCAAAATACAGTCCTTTTCTTTGCATCCATGCCAAAAAACCATGTTTAAACCAAACCCCTTAAGTGTGCATATAATTACAAATGAAAGACTCCAACAATATTGCATGGCATTTTCCTTCCAGCTGTAATCTACAGGTGATCAACAAGGCTAAAGGAACAATTTGGAAACAAAACAGGCAATTTACTATGGGAGAGGTTTCAAAACACCTTTCAAAGTCACAGCCACCAAACAGTTGCTCAAGAACTAGGAACTGCGCAGAAAGGTCCTGTGGAAACCACTCAACTCTAAGTGTTCTGACTTTGGAAATCAGATCACTTTAAAATAACTCCAAACTTGAAAGTCCATCTTCTAATGCGACTCATGAAGCCTGAACACTTTGAAATACACAGCTCTAGGAAAAGTCACCATAAATACATGTTCTTAAGTACATATAGTCTACAGGAGAAAGAAATTTTTAAGAATTATGGCTTTGTATCTACTGGGGTGTTGGTTCAAATCCTGTTTCCAGCGTCATTTCAATACAACAACAAAAGAGGGATTTCCTGACTCAGAGTTTAGAAGGAAGACACGCTGAAAAATAACTATTTGTTCCACACCTCATATACACTAAAGCAAAAACACACACCCACTACTTAAGCAAGTGTAATTATATTAACAAACAGACAGAACTACAATTCCACAATTAAGACTTTCTTTAATTGTGAGTTACTAACCACAGTGGTAGTGCTTCTGGAAGTTTTGTTTTCTTAAGCATCTGACTTAAACATGTACTTTCCTCCAAAAAACCCGTACAGCAGAGAAATACAGAGAATACTCTCTGGATTTCAGACAGACTAAATATTTACGTTGGGTTCTCAAGTGTTTCAACAAGTGTCTTATACTTGGAAGAGATTACACAAGATTACGAAGGAAGCAGGCTACCAAGGCAAAATTGACATTTTTTCCACTGCTGAGCTTTAATGCTTCAGATGTAGAATCAGTTGCTTTAAACCACTACTTAAATGTCTTACTTTGAAAGAATCAAGAATGGAGCTCAGTTAAATGTATATTTCTGCTCACTTTATGTCATATCCTGAGAGAAGGCACTTGTGAGTTTTCGTTCTGCAAAACCAACTTGCATGATGAAAACTACTGCTAAGCCTTTGAGAATATAACTAATATGAAATTGTCTCATGAAGATGAAGGACAAATCAATGAAAACTGATTAATGAGGAAAACAAAGGGCTATCTCAGTCTTCAGCTTCTCAAGAAAAGTTTATAAACACTAACAAAAGAATCAATACAATTTAGAGAAAAGAAACAGAGATAGAAATGTCAAAATGCTTATTGTGGCTAAATATAAATAGAGTAACACCAGTTTCTATTAAGGTTTACTTTTCAATGATTCTTAAAACATTTGATATAAAAAAGGTATTTTGAAATCCTCTTTTTATACTTGTATGTGGGTAGTTCATAATCACTTTACCTATTAGTTATAGTAAACACTATAACATCTGGAAATCAGCAACTGTACTTTTTAGAAAAGAGCTTACTAACATTACAAGCCTCAGATACATCAATCCTACCAAGCCCTGACTGAAAAGAGCAAGTTACAGACAGACAACTGCCCACATGGGCCCAAAGCAATGCCACCAACCGGCTTAGCTCAGGAGGAGAAAACTTGCTACAGAAACCATTCCCTAGGCTTTCCAACAACTTCTAGGCCTTATGCATGCCCATGTTTAAAAGCCCACTGTCACAACTTCCCTGGCACAAAGAACAGCAGGAATCCACCAGACACTGCTATGGGCAGCTCCATCATTCCAGGGCAATGACAATAACTGGGGAAATAGGCATTTTATGTACTCACATTCATGCTTTAGGCACAGGAAATGTTCTGCAAAATTATTCTACTTACCTGCAAAAATTCTTACTGGAAACAACAGATCTGTTTGATGCTATACTTACTACTTGCTCAGTCATAAAAATCTTACACTGTTAAACTGAAAACAGAATTGTTTCTACAGCAGTAGAAACACACACAATAGTATAACCATACTGGCAAATTCCCCCCAACACTGCTCTAGTCAATTTTCATATCATACATTCCAAAGACCAGAAAGTCAGCTATAACACTATGCACACCTATTAAGTTTAACTGATAATTCCAGACTGGAGGTACAACAGGAAAACAGTGTGTATACAAATGCATTAGTGCAATATCAAACCTCAGGGACGCCTGAAAATAGCTGGACACAGATCCCAGATCCCAAATAGGATTTGTTTTCTTTGTTGTACCTGTTTACCAACCACAAGCATATTTTTTTCTCCTTTTGCCTCTCAGAACAAATGGGTAACACACTAACTACCTCCAAATAGAGCAGAGCCAGCAGACCAGTAGTTGTGCAATCTGCAGTAAAAGGTAGCCATGCACACACAACTCTTAGCAGTAGAAAGACCAAGAGAAAATTTTAGATAATCTCCAAGAGAAAATACATCCAGTATTCTTATTTTCCCAGCATTGACCATACACAGATAAACACTACATTCTAACTTTTAAACTTTATCAAGTAGATTATAGATAACTCCATTTGCTATTACAGATTTGTATCATTATGTCAGCTAAAGACTTCAAACCACATTAGAGTACACTACCTCACAGGATGAATACAGCAACAAGTAACTACAATCCTAACAATCTACTTGCAGATTACATTACAGTGTTTACCAACACAAGTGATCAGTAATACACAAACTATTTCATCTTCATATTTAAAAACAAACACATTTTTGCAGGGCATACTATTACCAGGCACTTAACTTGGAAACAAAAAAATTTCCCTAACCCACCCCTCCCCAAATCTCTCCAGAGTACTAAAAGATCAGCCACCATTTTGTTTAAACACTCACTTTCAAGTATCTGATTTCTATACTTGGGGGTCAAAAGAAGAGAATTAGTGGCATTTTTAATTTAGGAAAATACTGCCACCTCTCCTAGTAAGCTTCCAGACAGTGGCACAGATTTCCATGCAAACAAATGAAGTCTTAGTAATAAGCACAAAAATAGTAAAACTATTTAGTAAAACTATAAAAATGAGTCAACATCTCATTTTGAATCTAATTTTGGAACAATTTTTCTTCTTCCATCTTCTACAACTTTCCTAAATGCAATTGCTTTAAACTACACTACAGGGAAACAAGAGAATATTGAGGTAATTTTGCAGACTTTCTCCAGTTGTATCACATCCCTACATCTACCACTTATAAGGACAGTTTCATCCCTGCCTCCTTTTTATTATCTGTAGATAGCAGAAAGCCAAATTTTACTTTAGACTGAACAGTTTTGTACTAAATATGTACTTGGATGCTAGACTGTAAAGGAACCTGTCATCAAGTTCCAAAAGAAGAAAGCAACCCTCAAGTTTTAAAATTCTAGCTCACTTTTGTAATCAAAAGAAAAATATACATGACCTATACAATGAGTTTGCACCAATTTCCCCTTGATTTCTAACTGTCAATAGTACTGTTATGCTACATGCACATAAAGCCTGCACAAGAAATCTATTGTGTTGATGACAAAACAAAGCACTATCAAGCTAGCCAAATTGCAAAAGATAAAACTAGATAACAAAATGACAGATGGCTATTATAAAACACTTTCTAAACTATTATTATTATTATTTTGCTGATTGGCATGCCAAAACAAGGTCACATATCCAGTAGCATCAGTTACATGTGAATGTACCCAACTTTACTAACAGTCTATTATCATAAAAGTACTCAAAAGAGCAAGAAAAAAGAAAGAAATGAGATTCCTTAGCAGGAAAGATGACAAATTTGGGTCATCCCTGAAGCCTAAATGAACTGTTCTGAATGGCATTATTCATTCAAACTAACAATAATTTCCCATTTACGGTAGTCCATAGGGAACAAACTGTTTACATTTGGTTTTCTCTGCAACCATACAAACTAGAAAGGTTTGTTTAAATTGATGCTTTGATTTTGCAGCACAGTTTTGTGGCCACAGAAGGGCAGGACAGACAGGATCCTACTGCCTGGTTATATACAAGGTTTGCCGTGTTGCACTCAACCACAAAAATTTCTTTTTTATTCAAATGACAATCAAATTCAAATTACTTCAGTCATACTTGCAAGTAGCATTTTAGAACAGATTCACACCAAACTGTTTTCCTAAGACCATATGAACTACATAGTTCTCATCATTTATTTATTTGTCTCCTCATTAAATTTATCAGTCCAGCAGGGGAAGATCCATGTTTTCTCCGGAGATCATGCAAAACATACTTACATCATCATCACAGATTTTAAGAACTATGTCAAAATACTTCTAACTATCAACACTCAAAACAAAGAAGGAAACTTACCTACTACCATGAGCGTGAACTCAAATCCTCTCTTCACAGACTTTCGGTAAACTTGATTTGGAAGATTTGCAAACCCCACATATCCTTCAAGGTTCTTCTGTTGCTAAAGCAAGAGATATTTAGGAAAAGACAAAGTTAAAAGGAAAGCAAGTAATTTCTTAATTGGCTTGTATTCTTAGTTAATGAAATGTTCACTTCATTTTCACATTTGTAGAAAAGTGCTATCTACCCAACCTCTCAACAGCCCAAGCTGTCTACATTCAAGACAGTACAATGAACTGCAGCAAAAAATACAAAAAACAATTTTTTGTCTGGATGGTCAGAAAAACTGGCACAGAAACTCAGGTACACTAGGAGTATTTTGGGCAAATGCAATTGCCATATTATGCCTGCACAGTGAGCATGTGCAAACAAATTAAAACATAATTAACATTGTACCAATGCCCATTTGACACACAGGCCAGCAGTATGAATGCACCCTTCCTGTATTTACAAGTCATGGTGCTACTGCCTCAACATGAAGGGAATCAACTTGAGACCTCTGCTTCTGTGTCATTCAACTGCAGGCCTTCATTTTAAACCCAGACTTACACTAATGCAGCATGCCTTGCATAAACTCTCCATACGGGCAAAACTTCAGTTGCCTTGTACTCTGAAAAACTTACCCAAAATAGTGTCTACTGTGAAACAAGAGAAGAATTCTGGATGTTAGCCATTACTTCTTCTCACCACATTAATGAAAATGCTGGAGGTACTTAAAATGCCTCCTCCTCACTGTACTAGACCCAGCAATCTTTCAAAGCTCAGCTGTGCTACCTTTACACCACTCTTCCAGCACAATCCTACAACTGTTTGTTTATTAACACAGCAGCTTTGAGGATTGTCTTATGAGACTGGGCAATTTAGATATTTTACAAAGATTCTGAAAACACTTTCTTGAGACAACTGTCTACTAAAAGCAACACAATGCACTGCTTGTCATGGAGCAGTGATTTCAGCCTTTAGGCGTTATGTCCATGCAGAGTTGAGAGGATGTCATGTGATGGTGGTACTGCCTCAGTTTCAGTGTTTGAGAGCTGTACATACCCACACAGCTGAAGTGCTGTCTACAAGTTCAAATTCCACTGCCTAAAATTATCTTAATGAGAACAGAGGAATTCTAAAAAATAATTTGTAAAAAATTTTTCTCCTGCAGGCACTCTTGGCTCAGAACTTCTCTGTATGGGATACAGTTTGGTTAATTCAAGTTTGGTATGTGGTTGAGTCATTTCTTTTGAAATTCTTTCTTTCTAAAACTAACAGAATAAGTTCAAAGCAGTAATAAACTCAGAATTTTTAAATTAAAAATTTTTCTTTAATTAAAGCAAGGATATAAAACTATCACCTTTAAAGTATTGAATGCAAGAACTAACCTCTTGGCAATCCAACAGCACTAGTCCATAAATGGACTCTGTGTTTTAAGTCACCCAACTGATTTCTCCATTTGGCAAATAAACTATTAATAATCTCAAACAAAACTACACCATTGCAAAGACTAAGTTAGAGGCTCCAGTTTAAATACTCATAATGCAACAAATGTTATTACTTCCCTAAATGTAGGAATCTTTGTGTTGTGTCATCGAGGTACTTCTTTAAAGAAGCTTTTTGTTTCAATATAGCCTTTGGTGCAGCTATAATCTCATCTGAAAGGTTTTAAAGTATTTTAAAAATCAGCCAGGAATTTAAAATCCAAATATTTGTTTTAATTTTCCAATCTATTACTGCATGTAAGGAATGGAATTTATCACAATCTGAAACCCTGAGCTGGAGCCAATGCTTTAGAGATATTACATGACATGCAGGTCAGTGCTGTTAAAGATATTAAAGGGCTCCTTAACAGTGCAGGTCCTCAATAACCATTAAGGATGTGGAACTCCTATTCATCCTACCAGATATGAAATATCTAATCACAGTCAGGCACTCCTAATAGTTCTACTTGTCAGCCACCTGCATTTTTTAGTATCTACATATCTTTTAATGTGTGTCATGTTTACCAGAAACACCTCACTGCCTCATTAGCTAATTCTTTTGCTTAAAAGAATGGGTTTCCATATAATTCTTGTCTTGAACTAAAGTTATTTCTCTTTCCCTTTATAAAGAGATCCACACTTCAGATAGTTTTACCCCTCTGTACTTCTAGATCACTGAGTATGAAATGCTAAAAAAGAATAGATGGCAAATTTTGGGTTGTTTGCTTTATTAAGTGGGTCTAGATTAATTACACCCACAATTTTAGATAACAAAATAAAAATAGTAGTAACCAGAAAGAAGAAGATGTATCAAATGTTACATTGGGCATTAATGCTGTGTTTAATGTGAGCATTTGCCCTCAATAGGAAAAAGCCTTTTAAAAAATTGCAGCTGGATGCCAGATTCAGATTTCTGGTACACCAATTAAAATTGAAAATTTCAACATACTGGTTTTTAAATGGTTGCCTTTGTTCATAATTTGCCACTTCTAAAGAGACCAAAACAAATTAGGAATTGAGTTTCTTTAATTCCTGCAACAGCTTTTAAAAGAACTTAGTACTTTTTTTGGTAAAAAAGTTGACTTCCACTGTCTTGAACGTGGTGCCAAATGAGATCTCACATTTCTAATACTTGCAATACCTTCCCCTTGATTTTTACCCCTTCTTGATTTTCAACCAGCTGTTATCTAAGCTCAATTTTAGTTCATCTACTAAAAACCTCATGCTGCCTCTATTCCTACATTAGCTGTAAAACATCTGCATCAAGGTAATACTTACAGCTACTTTGTAAACAACACGTTTCCATCATTTTCACCATTGAAGATATCAGGAGAATACATCCAGAAGTAGTCCAGCAAAATGATGAATTTGAACCATTGCAGCAACGAGTCCATGCAGGTGCAGCCGCAATCCAGAGAGAGGAATAGGGGCAGTGTGAGAAAGAAAAGAAAAGAAAAGAAGAAAACGTTACTTACATTTGATCAAAGTAACTCTCAGTATTTTCCATCTAGTATGCTTAGGAAGCAGCATTTTAAGCAGAATCACAGAATGGTTTGGGATGGAAGGGGTATGGAGGAACATCTACTTCTAAACCCCCTGTCATGGGCATGGACACCTTCCACTAGGTCAGTCTGCTCTAAGCCCCATCAAACCTGACTTTGAACACTTCCAGGGATGGTGCATCCACAACTTCTCTGGACAATCAGTTCCAGTGCCTCACCACCCTCACAATAAACAATTTCTTGCCAATAGCTAATCTGAACCTATTCTTTGTCAGCTGAAGGCCATTTCCCCTTATCCTCTCCTGTTAAAAATCCCGCTTCACCTTTCTTGCAGGCCTCCTAAATTGTCTTTGTTAGTAACCTTAATTTAGTTTGGATTATACATAAAACAACCTAATTTCATAGTAATATACTACACAAACTCCAGCCATTTAATGATCAATACAGGCAGCTTAAACAATAGCTCTTTTTACTTCAGGTATTCAACACATTTTTGATTGCCATATGCTATCTGAACCTGTAATGGGTTCAGGCATGTTTCTTCTTCTGAGGTGTTCACTAGAATATGCAATCGCATTTCACCACACTACTACACAGCATCTTTATTTTAGTCTGGAAAAGGTACAAAGGCCAAAGCCATCATCCTCACAAATGTCTCCCAGGATTTTAAGGGGATGTGATTCTAATGTGTTTCTAAGTCACTTTACACACTCAGTGAACAGTGTCAATTCACTTCATTTGCAACACTGAGCATTAGAGCACTGCTGCAACCTTGGGCACAAGTGTCATGGTTCAACAGCCAGAAAATAAAGAACAAAGCAGGGAACACAAGCTACATGTCTGTTCAACAACATCTAACTCTGTGCATGACAAGAGGTCTACAACAGTTCCCCAACACAACACTTACAATACCTTAACTAAAAGCTGTATGACATAAAAATCCTGTTTGTCACTAAACATCTTCCCAGGCTTGAGTATTTCAATACATAGATACTAAAAAAGTTAGTAAAAAACCCCATCTTAATAGCAAATTCTAGGCCAGCAGTTAAGATGCTTCTGCATCTTAATACCTAATTTTTAATCAATCCCATAGTTCCAGAGTCTGAATTTATTTTTAGAAACTCTACACTGTGATGGAAACCGCACTTCAAAGTGTCACTGAAGTCTCCTTCTGCTTGTCTATGTAATGCAATATAAGCTTTCTGTTTCGACAGCCCCCTTCATGGTCTATCAGCACCCAGAGCCATACCAGCTCAGCACACTGGGTACACTGCTGCTGTACTCTTCAAAAAAGCAAAGCACTGCTGATCAATGCCAGTCCTTCTCTGTGCCTTGCAGAAAGGTGGCACAAGATGCTCTGGGAGGAAGCTCCCTTTGTTCTGGGAGGAAGACAGATGCATTTGCAGCAGAACTGGAGCGAGCTGTACAGCCTGGAACATAACTGATACTGCAGATCCCACAGCAGCCTCAGTACTCCAAGATTTTAGTATTAACCACCCTAAGTAATACATTACTATCAGGTATCATGCAGCACATCACTGCTTTCAACTGTGAAAGAAGAGTAACATCATCAAGCTCACTGAGTGCACACAGGGACCTCCTTCCCTGGACAAAAGCAGTACTATTTGAAATCCTATCACCCAGCAAGAACAGCCACATGGGTCACACCAAAGTTCTGCCTTCACCAGAGGCCAGAAACATACATCTAAGGTAGCACACACAGCAGAACAAACAGAGCAGTGTTTCTCTTAACACCTCAACAGTCACCAAAGATCCACCTCGCAAGCATTTAGGATGGGCTATTTCTTCACTTAAACGGCATTTGACCAATTTCTCTTCCATGCACACTCTTCTTATAATCACAAACAGCATCCACAAAAGTCCCTGCAGCAAGGACTGCCCCTGTACATTGTTAAAAGGATGAATATAATTTCAAAATTACCTCCTGTTAGCACAATAGTATCTTCATTGGAAAACAGTCCTAATCATCTAATTGCACTCAAAAGAAGCCATTTCATGTCTCTGATTGCTCCTGCTGCTCTTACATAACTCTACTCTAGCTCTGTACTCTTCTGAGGAAGCCAGGGCT